AGTTCCAGGAAAGCTCTGCTTCTAGCTTACTGATAAATCCTTAAAACCCAGGGATACTTCACTTTGTGTACTACTTGTTGTAATATTTTAAGCAATAAAAAAAAGGAAGAAAGGTTTCCAAGAGTTCCAGGAAAGCTCTGCTTCTAGCTTACTGATAAATCCCCTTAAAACCCAGGGATATGCCTTCACTTTGGAGGTATTGGTCCCCCTTCCAAAGCACTCTCTCCTAGGAGCGATGAACTCTTTAAAGACCTGTCATTGGGTTACACATGCTTGGGCAGGTGCTATAGAACCTATCTTTGGAACAGTTTTGGTAACCGGAAGGGCCTGAGGACTTCAGGGGGAAGAAAAGTGGATGAGGCAGGTTAATAAAAACTAAGGAAATTCTCTGGCAAGTGAAATGAGGAAAAAGGAGACAAAATATTTAAACAAAGGGCCAAGCAATCAACAGCCAGCCAATAAATCATAAGACCCTATCTTCCATAATGGAGGACACTTAGGAACAAGTGGTTTACAGCTCTACTCCCCAACCAGAGAGTGAGTAGCTTAAATCACCCTAGTCAGGTAGATAAATTAACAGAGACACTACAGTGCCATTAGTGCCAACTAAATCCAAGAACCAATGAAGTCAGGGGAATAAATAACAAACAAAAAATTAGTTAGAGCCAGACAAATCCAAGATAGAGATAAAGATGATCAGAGAATGATCCCAAACCCCACTATATGCTTATTTGATACATAAGCATGTTAAAGCCCACACCTAAAAAGGTAATGAATAATCTGATTGAGGCCTCTCCAAAATTTCCGTCTACAGAAAACACATAAAATCCTCAAGAAAAAGGACCAAGTGCATGTTCTCCCCTGAGCCCACCCTTTCCTCCCTTTCCTCCCTTTACTTTCTTCTAAGCCATGAGGACACTTCTTTTGCCTAATTCTTCCATGAGACAAAAGCAGTCCCCACATGGCTCACTTTTGTCACTCAGACTTTTATTTCTCAGTGATCTAGCAGCACAGCCCAGGCTCACGTCTGTTACTATTACTTCCTTTTTTGAGTCTAGGCAGCCCAGTCTAGGGTCACCTCTGTTACTGTCATCTTGCCTCTTCTATCCTAAGTTCTTCTTTATTTTTACTGTACCAACCTTTATTAAACATAGTTGCAAAATCAGATGGGTTTGTGTCTTCAATTATTTCCTGCATGAAGTAAAAAACCCACAAATCCCAGACCTTGCCTGGGCAAGCCTGCCTTGGCCCAGTCCTATCCCTTACTGGTGACATGGGCAGCATGGAAAACCCAAAAAAGACAAACTTCACCTTCTTTTCAGTTGTTTTGGGATACAGTCCTGCCTGAGCTTCACTTCTGCCCCCACCCCTGTCCTCTCCCTGCTTGCCTGCTTCCCCAACCAAATCCTGGGCTAAACAGAGAAAAGTTGAAGGTAATGAGAAGAGGACAAAGGAAACTGCTACAAACAGCTTTCCCTCAGTACTTGGTGCCTCAGGGTTATGAAGGCTCTGGAGAGGAAGGGACAGGCATGTCTCTGCCCAGAACATTTGTTCTACCAAACACCAAAGTTCAATGTCTTTTAGGAGCAAAGAGAGGAACAGAATATGGGGTCCATAGAGTGGGGCCTCTACTGGCACCTAGCGGAGTGCCCAAATCCTCACTGTCCTTTGTGGGCAGACAAGCTATTTGAGAGTGGAACTTATTTTAAATCAATCACATATCACTTTTTAACCAGTTAACTGCCACATGTCTAAATGGGAAACCATCCTCATATGCCACAATATTTTAATTTAATTTAAAAATAAATTTGCAACAAATAATTTTTTTTATTAAATCTTTATTGTTCAGATTACATTTGTTCCTCTTTCCACACCCCCCCCCATAACTCCCCTCCTATTCATTATAATCACCAGTTCATTCTGTACATCAGATTATTTATTCACTTGGTTCTTAGATTCACTTGTTGATAGATGCATGTTTGTTGTTCACAATTTGTATCTTTACCTTTTTCTTCTTCCTCTTCTTAAAGGATACCTTTCAGCATTTCGTATAATACTGGTTTAGTGGTGATGAACTCCTTTAGCTTTTCCTTATCTGTGAAGCTCTTTATCTGACCTTCAATTCTGAATGATAGCTTTGCTGGATAAAGTATTCTTGGTTGTAGGTTCTTGGTATTCAGCACTTTGAATATTTCTTGCCATTCCCTTCTGGCCTGCAAAGTTTCTGTTGAGAAATCAGCTGACAGTCGTATGGGTATTCCCTTGTAGGTAATTGAGTCTCTTTCTCTTGCTGCTTTTAAGATTCTCTCTTTGTCTTTTGCTCTTGGCATTTTAATTATGATGTGTCTTGGTGTGGTCCTCTTTGGATTCCTTTTGTTTGGGGTTCTCTGTGCTTCTTGGACCTGTAAGTCCATTTCTTTCACCAGGTGGGGGAAGTTTTCTGCCATTATTTCTTCAAATAGGTTTTCAATATCTTGCTGTCTCTCATCTTCTGGCACCCCTATTATTCTGATATTAGTGCGCTTGAAGCTGTCCCAGAGGCTCCTTACACTATCTTCGTATTTTCGGATTCTTTTTTCATTTTGCTTTTCCGGTTGGGTGTTTTTTGCTTCTTCGCATTTCAAATCTTTGGCTTGATTCTTGCGCTCCTCTGGTCTGCTATTGGGTGTCTGTATAATATTCTTTATTTCAGTCCGTGTATGCTTAATTTCTAGTTTCTTTATCATAGCATCGAGGGTCTCATTAGTTTTCGTGAGCCTCTCCTCAAGTTTATTGGCAGCTTCTAGCACATTTTTGCAAACCCTCAAAATTGCTTTTTTTAGCTCTATATCCTCCATTTCTGTCATGTTTTTTTGTCTCCGCATTTTTTATGCTTTCTTGGCTGCCCCAGTATCCTTTTTCTGCAACAAATATTATAAAAACAAATATATTACAATTTTGGTGTACTTGAATATTTTCAGTTGAAAATTCTCACGAAAAATGATTTTTAAAGTGTCTGTAGATTCTTATAGCATATAAAGGGTTAAAGAGACACTGAATAAGTGAGTTCTGAAAAATTATCAAGGAACACCAAAAGTGGAGATTGGGTAGAGACTGGTAAGAGAGGCAAAGTCACCAAAGGGCTGGCTGGGGAGCAACTGAAGTTTCAAAGAGATATCTCAGCTATGGGCAGTTACCAGTGAGAATGCTGGGGTCTAATCCCCAAGCTGGCCTTCCAGCATAGAGCACTGGAACTGAGAAGGGTACCACATAACATCTGGCTGTAAAAATCAGTGGGGTTGCTGTCTGCCAGGGAGAAATGGCTGGAAATTCAGGCACCCTCTCAAAAGACCAAGGCACAAAATTTCCTATGGAGCCACTCACCTTGTAGTCTGACAGAGGGAGGGCAGAGTGGACTAGAGTGTGTGAGCAGAAGCCAGGATTGGGGGCTCTGAGGTTAGTGCTCAGAAGGCAGACACCCCAGTTTCCTGCACTGAGTCATTTCTTAATGCTGCAGAGGTCATCTCTCTCATGCAGACATTTGCTATAAAGGCAGCCTTGCCTGGAGGGAAGACAGTTGACCCACCCTATTGGAAAACACCTTGCCTCTCTGTTGGGGAGATAATGAGGCTAATTAAGACACTTAGAATCCCAGTTAGCCTCCAGGCCAGTGGTTCTCAACCTTGGCAAACACATTTATTCCAAGTCAAAAAATATCTATATTACTCTGAATGGCTTTGTAGTATTTCTTGTTAGGGATGTAGCATAATCCATCAAATAAATTCCCTTTTGTTGGATATTCATAACATTTACAACTTTTTACATGTATGCATTCTAAAATAAAAACCCATCTAGCCCTGCCAGTGTGGCTCAGAGGTTGAATGTGGACACATGAACCAAGAGGTCGTGGTTTGATCCTGTTCAGGGCACATGCCTGTGTTGCAGGCTGGATTCCTGTGGGGGACATGCAGGAGGCAGCCAAGAGATGTTTCTATCTCTCTGTCCCTCCACTCTCTCTAAAATCAATAAAAACATATTGAAAAAACAAACAAACAAAAACCATCCAGCCCTGACCAGGTAGCTGTTGGTTGGAGCGTCGTCCCACACACCAAAAGGTCATGGGTTGGATTCCCAGTCAGGGCACATACCTAGGTTGAGGGTTCCACTCTTCAGGCGGGACACGTACAGGAGTCAGCCAATGGATGTTTCTCGTTCACATCGATGTTTCTCTCTCTCTCTAAAAATCAATAAAACCTATCCTCAGTTGAGAATTAAAACAACAAAACATCACATTTGCATTTATATTCTTTTTAAAAATACATTTTTATTGATTTCAGAAAGGAAGGGAGAGGGAGAGAGAGAAACATCAATGATGAGAGAGAATCATTGATGGGCTGCCTCCTGCATGCCCCCTATTAGGGATCGAACCAACCCCGGAAGAATGTGCCCTTGACCAGAATCAAACCAGGGACCCTTCAGTCCACAGGCTGACACTCTATCCACTGAGGCAAACCAGCTAGGTCTGCATCTATATTCTTGTGTCATAAGTCAGGTTCCCTGGCAAACAGTCGCTGAGATAAACATTTGCATTCAGGAAGTTTACTGGGAAGTGGGCTTGGGATCAATACCTATAGATGGGTCCATGGAGAACCTAAGTGTAGACAGATGCTTATCTGGGTACTTTAATTCTTGCTTTGGGTTCAAATCCCAGACTAACCCCAGCTTTTAAAATTTGCTTTTCCCCCTTTAGGAGCTTCTGCGAAAAGTTCTGTTTCCTGCCAAAGTTCTCCTGTGCCAAACTGTTCTGCAAAAGAGACTAGCACTGAACTAACGCGAAGCGGAAGCAGGCTGATGACTTGAATTGGAGACGAAATCGCCTGGCTTCCTGGGTTCTGGAGGCCTCCTTGCTCCTGGGAGCAGCAGCCCCTGACCCTTCGGGCTTCTGCAGGCAGGGCGGGTGTCCCGCATCCTGCAGTCCAAGCTGGCCACTTCTTCACTGACCCTGATTCTCCAATGCAGATCTCCAGGGTGGCTAGAGGGCTGGGCAGGGACTCTTCCACTGCGCCTGGGGCGGGGGTTGCTGTGGCGCCACCTCCGGAGGCGGGGCCGGAGGCTTGTTTTCTCAGAGAAACTGGGAGTGGTACCAACTACCCAAGACCTCCACGCCCTGGACTCCCCTACACTCAGCACCCCAATCCCTTAATGTACACACACGCACGCGGACCCCGCGCAGATCCAAAGCAGGAGTCAAACAGCATCTTCGCGTTTTTACCAGCTCCCCCTTTTCTTACAAAGGAGGAAGAAGCGGGTGAGAAACAAAAACTTCTCTTTCTAAGCCCTGCCCTTTTCTGCAATTTGTTCCCAGGCCAAGATGGGTTCACATTTCTGTTCCTCCTCCTGCTTCGTGTCCTAACTGTACCAGGGGCGCTTTGGCCCGGGTAGTCCCTTCTTAGAGGAGGTAATTCGGGAGTTTATGGGACCGGACTGGGAGCTGAGGAATGGGAAGGAGGCAAAAGTGCAGTTTTGTAAATTTAGCGGTGCTACATTCCCACCCCAGGTTTACTTTCCGCAGCTGGGCAGAGATGGCAGCGCTAATGCCTATAGCCTAGAAGGAAGAATTCCAAGGGACCACCGCCTGGGCTGCCCAGGGAAGCCCACACTTGCTCAAACCAAGGATTCTTTACTTGCTACTAGGTTGATCGCCAGATTTATGACGCAGAACTTGTTCAGTTCTTGCAAGTGGAAATGCCATTTGATGCTTTCATTTTCTGTTTGCTCTCCTATGTCTCCTCACCCTTAACCCAACCACAGTCAGTGCCTGAAATTCTTGGAGTCACTGCCAGCAGCCTCCTCTTTAAGCTTTCTTACTGCAACATCGGGATCCTCAGCCTTCTTACTCAAACACAGCACACCCACAGACAACAGCACATGGGCATGACATGACATCTTTGTGTCTAAAGGACAGTAAAAGCAGTCTCAGCACCATTGTGGGGACTAGGGAAATCTTAACTTAGCCAAGACCCTTGCTTTGTGTCATTAAGAACCTTATAGTCAAGTCATAAATGTAATCACTAGAAACCCAAGTGATTAATTATCTGAATAGTAGGTAGCCAACTTCCCAGAAGCAGCCTCAGTTATTCATAGAGCTACTAAAACTGCACAGCTACTAACTAGTTAGTTAGTGCAGAATGATAATTGTGTTACACTTATTTCAAGCAACTTTATTTTTTTACAGATAAAGTAATATATTTTTTGAATTCAGGGAAATACTCAAAGTAGTTTTCCCTTAAACAGAAACTTTCACAGGCACCTTTAAACAACATCTTGATTTTCTAGAAATTACTAGTTAGAAACTGAAAGCTGTGTTGTGCATTGGAAAGCTTCTACTTAGGAACCCTGGATGTTCCTTGGGCCACACATGTTGTCTTTCTCTGTCCCTCAGTTTCCTCATCTGTAAAATGAAGATTTAACACAATGGTCTCTCTTTCTTATTCTATGATTGCACGGAGTGCCCAGGTATTGTAACAGGACTCATAGAAAATAAAGGTATTCCAGTAATGAGGAGAAAAACTATCATTTGGCAAAGAGGATAGGAAAAGCCATTCCAGGAAAAGTGGAATGGCTCTGGCTTTTGTCAAAAGTGCAGATGTCAGGTAATAAGCAGGCAGAGGTAAGAGGCTGGTCAAGGTACTGCTTGAAGCATTTACCAGTGTGATTCACAAATTAAAGTAGATGGCTACGAAAGTGGACCAAACCGGGATGGCAAAACCCCTCTTTAGGAGTTTCCATTATACTATATTTGAGCAAAAAGCAAACTCTGTAAATAGTTATTCTCAGAAGAATGCCTTAAAATATTTGGGAAAGAGAGAATGGGCATAAAGCCCAGAGTGTGTTGAATAGTGAGTATTTACTGTTTGTCTGTTTGGAAATAGAGCCATGTCAGCAGGCCTGTGACCCATTCTCCCTCTATCAGAACTGTCTCCCCTTCCTGGAAGTGGAGGCATGATCCTTCTTTTCACATGAGCTTCATCTGCTTTTAACTATTACTTCTCTTCTTAAGTAAGTTTCATGCATATAGACCAAAACTATGTAAGAGTTATAAAGAAACGTGGAGATTAACCTCTTTCCTCCATCAAAAAAATTTTACAATTAGTTTTTAGGACATAATTAAACATATGTACTCTGTATAAAGGGGAAAAGTGCACTAGCACTAGAGTTCTTAGAAGGACAACCCAAGCTTCCCCTGTCTGAGCAGGGAAACTATTGGCTTGAAGAAGAGACATAGAAAAACATTTAAGAAAAAGGAGAATAGCTTTCAAGTTCAAGCTGTCAGAACATTTTTAAATATATGAGTGTATTTTTCTATTGGCAATTGTTTCACATTTATTACAATCACTGGCAAAGATATAGTTTTTATTAATCATAGACTATAATTTCTTGTTATATTTTGAAATGCAAATGGATAAGCACTTAGATGCACTTTAATAAAATTGTAAAACTTTTTTTGTCAAAAAATCTAATTTTCTGTTTCCTCATAACCTCATTGTGCCAAGCTGAAAATAAAACAATTAGAATGAAAGCAACCATTCACCATTCACTTGACTGCACTGTCAACTGTGTAGGCAGGTTGTGAATTTCCCCAAGGTTATTCAGTGAAATCCTAGAGCAGGGGAGGGCAACCTTTTTGTGAGTGCGTGCCAAAACCAGCAAAATCTCTGACTCAAAATTCTTCTGCATGCCAACACTAATTTTTTGAGAACATGTTATGCCTACTTGGTATCTCTTAAGGTGTACGTATGTGAAGAACCTTGAAGAAATAATATAATTCATTCGAGCGACAAAAACACAGTATATGATGATGAAAAATACATTTATTTTTAATGTATACATGTACACTGATAGTCCGACAGAAAACTTTATGACTCCGTTTGATATTATCAGTGGGACTTTTGCCGCTACATCACTGATGACAGCGATTTTACATCAGGTTTATATTTCGTGACCTTCAGAGATATGCACGAGCTACTACTTTCATCTGTCAGGCTACTCCTATTACGAGACCTAACAAAATTCATCACTGAGAACAAAGATTCACAATTGTAAATAGAAGATTATAAGAGAGGGTTTCACGTGCCAGCAAAAGTTACTGGCGTGCCATGTTTGGCACGCGTGCCAGGGGTTGCCCACCCCTTTCCTAGAGGCAGAGAAGGGATGTGGCTGTGTTCAGAGGCTAGAGGCTGCTCCCCGCCATCACTGTCAAACTAAACCCAGAGGCTTATCTGTCTGTGTGAGCTGGGCTGGAACTGGTGTTTCAGGCCATGGGACTGTTTGTGTGTGAACACATTCACATTGGAGTGGAGTCCCTTGTCTCTGTTGTTAGGCGATTCATCAGAGAATGGTTGTGTTGGTCAAGTCCTCTTGTCCCCAAAGGCTGTGGGAAGTGGCTGCTGCCTCAGTCTCCTGGGACTGCTGAGGCAATCAGGGTGTTGGAATGGGCCTGGCAGCCATCTTCCCTAACAAGTGACTGGTTGATAACTTTTTACAACTCACTTCTCAGTGTCTCTTTAAAAAGTGATATGTGGTTAATTTAAAGTAGGTCCCACTCCCAAATAGCTTGTCTGCCCACAAAAGGAATGTAAGGATTTGGGCACTCTGCTCGGTGCCAGTAGAGGCCCCACTCTAAGGTCCCCATATCCTGTTACCTCTCTTTGCTCCTAAAAGACATTGAACTTTGGTGTTTGGCAGAACAAATATGTTCTGGTCAGAGGCCTTGCCTGCCCCTTCCTCTCCAGAGGTTTCAGTAACCCTGAGGAACCAAGTACTGAGGGAAAGCTGTTTATGGCAGCTGGCTTGGTCCTCTTCTCACTATCCCCAACTTCTTTCCTTTTAGCTCAGGATATGGTTGGGGAAGCAGGCAAGCAGTGAGAGGACTGAGGAGGTGGGGGATGAATTGGGGAGGAGGGCGGGGGGCAGTGGGAGTGAAGCTCAGGCAGGACTGTGTCCCAACACAACTGAAAGGCAGGGATAGTTTGTCCTTTTTGGGTTCTCCATGCTGCCCATGTCACCAGAAAGGGACAGGACTGGGCCATCAGGTCTGGGATGTGTAGGTTTTGACTTCATGCAGGAAAGAATTCAAGTCACAAGTCCAGCTGATTTTGAGAGTATGTTTATTAAAGGTTGGGACAGTGACACAAAGGAAGAGCCTTGGGTAGAAGAAGCAAGATCACAGTAACAGAAGTGACCCTAGACTGGGTTGTGTAAACTCAGAAAAGGAAGTCACAGCAACAGATGTGAGCATAGGCTGGGCTGCTAAATTCAGGAAAGGAAGTCACAGTAACAAATTGAACCTAAAAAAAAAGAAGAAGAAAAGAAGTGAGACGAGGCTGGGCTGCTAGAACACTGAGAAGGAAAAATCTTGTTATGGCAGATATTAGGCTGGTGGGAAGCGACAAACCACAGACACTTGGAGGTTCAGAAAAGAACTGTTTTATTAGCCCTGATGCTGGCTCAGCAGAGTCCCCTCCAGAGGCTGAGCCCTGGCATTTGGATTCTGACCTTCTTTTATACATGATAAGCTTCTGGGTATTCAGGGGTCTTTCCACACACGTGGCAGTTTGGGAGGTTAGCTGATGCAAGAAGCAAGCCAGATTACAGAAGCCAAGGGTGTGGTTATGGCGGAGCAAGTAAAGGGAGGATTATCTGCTATTGGCTTGCCTTCTCAGTCTGAGTGACAGAAGCAAGCCAAGCAAGGACTGTTTTGGCTCTCTGAAATGTTAAAGAAGAGGAGGGCCCTGGGAGTTTAGGAGGAAGAAAGTAAAATTATGTGCCCGAGGAAAGGGAGGCAAGGGTGTGCTCAAGGGAGAGCATTCACTGGGTTCTTCATCTTGAGGATTTTATGTGTTTTCTGTAGACAGGAATTTTAGTGGAGGTCAATCAGAATACCGTATTTTTTCATGTATAAGCCACTTTTTTTTTTTTTTTCCTAAAATTGTTAGACTGGAAATCGCAGGGCGTCTTATACACGGAAGTCAGACAATGAGGGAACCAGGTGGGTGGGTAGCTGCCCATTCCTTGTCAAACAGGCTTCCTCCAATCACAGCCTTATTGTTACTGACATCAGCTGATGCCGTGATTGGAGGTGAATGTGCAGAGTGTGCAGATGCAACAGGGACCAGAGCGTTCTGAGCCCATGAAGATGTCAAAAAATAAAAAGATAAATAAATAAAAATGAGTTCTGTTTTATATTTAAAATATTGATTTCTTAATTTCGGGTTGGAAAAGTGGGGCATCTTACACAAGAGGGTGTCT